CTGCTTGGGTTGTTTATATTCAAGGATGTTTTGTGATTCCAGAGTTTAATGCCAGGAGTTGCTTTCTCCTCTGGCTTTTTAAGGCTGCGTTTTTACTCCGTGAGCTAAACCTAAGGAAAAGGGCATGGGATCAGGACCATGGCAGCACTGTGGCATGGCAAACCTTCTCTGACCTGGGAGAAGGACTTGAAACAAAGTTTTTTTTGTGGATATAGCCGGTTCTATCACGAGTATGAGAGGAGAGGCTTGGTCACTGCTATGTGCATAGTTTACAAATGCACTGATATCACCTTTTTTCTTGATTTTTTTGTCCCCCCATAAGTGCCTCTTGTGCTCGTGCACACTTTATACCACTGTCTTCTATGACACGCAAGGGATTTTGTGCTCCCCTGCATGGTCTGCTCATCTTGCCACTGCAGCTGCTGCTGCTTCCTTGGCCTTATGACTCTATGGGAGCAGGATTTGTGGGTTTTCATTGGCTTTTAGCGTTTGAAGTTCAAGAAAGATGCAGATCAGATCTAGAAATAATGAACTAAATAAATGCTGGACAAAATATCAGCTGGTGAAAATCAACTTTCCTCCATTAACTTCAATGTTATGGCCTTAATTATACCAAATGAGGGCCAGCTGTATCATTTTAGCCAGTCAAAATCTGTGGCTAAATAAACATCTCTTAATATGCTTGTTAGAAAGACTGCAGCGCACACTTCCAAATACAATTCTGTTTAAAGCATTTTAATTGTTATTACAGTTTTTGCTTATTCGGTATGCTTCTTGGAAAAGACATTCACCAAATTATCATTCAAAACCGGAAAAATAAAGCACAAGTAGAAAACTTACTGTAAAAATACCGTGTGCCATCTGAATTAAATCTTTTTTCTTGTCAACAAATCTTGTCAACACATAAAAGGCAAAAGATTGCACAATGAATAACATAATCATGAAGCCTTGCATAATAAATAGTCATGTTCTTAAATTTCATAGACAACTCCAGCCCGTGCTTGTTCTGCAGACATCATCAAATAATAGCGATGTATTTGGCAACAAGGGCTCAAAGAAAATAGAACAGCACATACATAATTTTCTATAACTGAAATTCTGGAACTCTATCTCCTAGTTAGCCTCATTTAAATTAAGTAATAGAGGTAAACAAAGAATCCAATCATTACATTAGCATTTCACATTATATTTTACTTATTACACTGTTTACCACCCTTAGAACGTTCTATATGCCATGCATATTTGCATAGCAAATATAACAGCAACTTGTTAAGAAGGTTTTCTTTGGCAGCTGAGAAGGGATTAATGTCTTTGTGCAGGTAGAAATGTGAAATAATTTTGGAATATGGAGTAATGACAGCAGACACTTTATCAGCAGTTTAATTTGGCTTGTTCATCGGCATATGTAGATTTTGTTACCACCACAACAGATCAGGGCCATACGTGATTTCCTGTGTTATGAGCTGATGGAGTTTCTTAGGTGGCTTCTTTCTGGAGTCCCACAAAGGTTACCCAGTCATCTTGCTGGGGGTGGTTGGCATGCACAGGCAAACGAGGAACTACCCAGCCCAATTTAAACCACTTTGATAATGAGACTGAAGGGGGAAACCATGCTCTTAGTCCTGGCAGGTCAGTTCTTCCTACCTTGAAATAACATTTGAGGCTGGTTGGAGTTCTACTTTACAAACCTAGAGGTCCCTACGCTTTGTTCTCAGATGTGAGGTTATCTCAACAAGAGTTATTTTTTTATTTGACAGCAAGAAGGGGATTTGATGGGATATTCTTCAATGTCTATTAGGTAAAACAAGATGGACTCTGATTGCGAAAGACCTCAGTCACATCAGATGCTGAACACAGTGGCCTTGGTGCTCTTTACTGGCCATGACTAGTGCTTACACATATTCGAGCACAGCAGAACTAATGCAGGTCACCTTACTCCATTTTAGTCCAGGAATTACTAAATAAATGGCCTAATAGCTGTCAAGTGTACTTGTCTGTGTAATTATTTATTGATTATCCAACACCTTTGTACTGGAAAATGCTAAAATTCAAAGGAATTTTACTAGGAACTTCAGATGGGTGAATATCTCGTGCTGAGATAAGATGCTTATGCCTACCCTGAGTATAACAACATGTGTGCTCTATTTACTGCTATAGTTGTGCACTTGGGAGTTAAAATGTTCGTCTTCTTTGAAATATGTAGCACCCATATTTAACCTTTAGATAGACACAGACCACAAACCAATCAATCCGGACACCAGTGTTTTCTATTTGTTTACCTTTTCCACGTCTTTAGAACAGGTAACATTTTTCTAAATTCAGTGCTTTTAACCTCTGTTCCTTTTAGTGATGTAGGAAAATAGGCAACCCTGCAGAAACAACAGGAAATAAAACTTGAGGATGGATACAATCCTTTTGTAATTACGGATCCGTTTCAACAGCTGCTTATATGAGGACTTTGCTAAACTTTGATCGCCCCTGATACAAGAGGAAAAAATACAATCCCTTCCAGGTAATAAGAAATTCAGCTGCACAATCTCACCCACACAGTAAAGGTTAAACAAATAAAAGGTTGAAACAGGACATATTCTACTCTCCTTGATAATACCAGCCATCAGTCATCTGCTCCCATGCAGAGCCCTGACAATCATAAAATACAGCGGGAGCTGGCTTCCTTCTCCTTGACAATCCGTGTCATCCTGTCCAGCTATTCATTTTTTATCTGTTTAATTATCATAATTTTTATCACCCTGTGTCTCAGTTTTTTCTCATCCATCTTTGTAGCTACAAGTACACTAACCTCTCAAAGACAGCGTCTGCAAATTGGCCTGAAACCAGTAAAACTGTATCTTCTAAAACTGTATCTGCTTACATACATGGTATAAGTGTAATTAATTTTGGTAGTCTCTAACCCAAATTTAATCTACTAGCACCAAAACACGGTTTGTAGTATCCGAGTATCACTTTCACCAGGAGGTTGAGCTCTGTCTGTTTGATGCACTGATAAAAAAAGAATGTAATTCAGGTTATTGACTATGCTGGTGAAGAAATGCAACTTTCATTGGATATTTTAAGCCTGTCGCATATTTTGAGCTTCTGTCACCAAGTACTTTCCCTTCTTTTATCCATGTATAGTTGTGGGGTTTTTCCCCCCTCTAACTGCAGCTCGTTGTTTTCGGTGAATTTGGGACATCTTCCCAAAGTGTGCATTTCAGCAGTCAGTTATACAGCCAGATTTACTGGCCTCTTTTGTCAAGTGGTTGACCTTTCTGAGAAACACCAGCACAGAGATGAGTTAACTTGAAATAGAGAACAAGTGGTTTCATAGCGATGACTTTCACTAGTTAACCTTTTAAAAATTGGCACATGATATATTTGCTATGGGTCGGAAAATGCCTGAGTTTGGAGGGAAAAGTGCCTCTTTACCATTTATCTTTGCAATCGGGCTCTGTGTGAATTTAGTCACGACCATAAACTGGGTTGAGGAAGTCTATAACCGCATACAAGTTGTATAAATTACGGTAGCATCACCTCCTGCTGCACTACACCGCTACGCCGGCACAGAAACACTGTGGGACAAACAGTTCTGTGTACACTTACCAACCATCCAGCAAAACCCCAAAGCAGCTCTATTTCACACTCACTAAAAGGCTACAACTTTCCAAATGTCTTTCTCCTTTCCTACTGGAGCAGTTGTTTACATGGAGAGAGGGTCAGTGATTTTTATGGTTGATTTCATGGATAATTTTAATACCACTTTCGCCTGTGTTTCATTTTGTTATTGCAGTGGCAAGAAGTTTTCTGAGTCCTTTCTAGTCCTTAATAAATGGTGATTAATACTTTTTGGCTTCAGGTGATTAAGTTAGAGAAGTTTTTAGGACTTTATTCTGGTATTTCCTTAATTTTCCAATTTCACATCACATCTATACACTTAGTCTAATGTGCTTACGAGTCTCTAATTTCTTTTTGAAGGTCATTTAGCTTGAGATGACATTTTGGTATTTCGCTGTAACACTATAATATGATTTTTAATAGCAAGATTTATGTTCAATGAAGCCGTCGTGGTGAACGCAACTTTGCTTCTGGAACAGTGAGTCATGAAATAACCATTCTCTGCCGTCTTACACTGATATGATTTTGCAACATGCATAGCCAGTTGACATCGAGGTGAGACTTACAAAACCCACCAACTCCACATTGAGATTTTCAGGACAATTTGTTGATCGGTTGTTCTGGTGGCCTCTCTGTTCTCTTCATCTGACAAGTTACTCAGTGTTATTTTGGTGGAGGTTCAGATTACCGCTTCACGTGAAAATTTTATGCAGTGCTCTCATGCTCGTTATCTGTT